TCTATCGAATTCATAAGCGCACAATACGATGATATTATTGTGTTTAAAAACAACGTGATTCAAGATCTCAAAGATATGAAAAAGCAAGTTAGCATGATATCTAAAAAATGCGAAGCTATTATGACCTCCGTTGAACAAATGGAGGACTATAGCTATCAATATAATCTGAAAATCGTCGGCATGCCACAGCAATGTGAGAATGAATCAGCCGAAAACACAACGAAATTGTGTTTGAATTTGTTCGCCGCGATCGGAGCTGAAGTTACAGAACAGGACATAGACATTTCACATCGAGTCCTTGCGAGAAGGCAATCAAATCGGCCGAGTGCAATAATCTGTAAATTCGTCCGTCGCTTGGCTAAGGAAAGGGTTCTTGCTCTCAGAAAGGTAACTAGCAACGTTCAACCACAACAACTTGGTTTCTCCTCAGAAGTGCAACTTAATTATCTTAGTATCTATGAACATCTACCCCCACGTCTACAGGAACTCTTGTTTGAGGCGAACAAATACAAACGTGAGAATAACTTCAAGTTTTGCTGGGTTAGAAATAAAGCCATTTGTTTGCGCAAATCCGAGGGTGATGTTGTTATCAAGCTAACAAAACGAGAGGATCTTGCTCAATTGTTATCTCAAGAACAAAGTGTATAACTATCTTCTTTTTGAAGATAAGTATAATTATATTTAATAATGGCTGTTAATAATTCTTTGTTTGAAAGTGAGTCACCTCTGCCATTTAATCACCTGGATGATACCGCCTTTAATGCAGTATTGTATGAGTTTGAACATAGTCCATTAAATTTTGACTTAGATCGTTTAGAATCTTTAATATTCAATCCAATTGAATATCTGCCTTCTACTTTAGAGAACTCATTTATAACTAATCTTGACCCAGATTTAAACTTTAACGAACTAATGCCATCTAATAGTAGGTACATGATTGAAAGTGAAGTTAATGAACTTGTAACGGATAAACCATGTAATTCGGGAATGTCTTTTTTGCATATAAATTGTCGAAGTCTCATTGGTAATTTTGATAGGTTTAGAGTTTTAACCACAAATTTGCTCGACTCATTTTCTGTAATTGGAGTATCTGAAACCTGCATGGCTAAACGATGATACTTTTAATATGGTAAATCTGCCTGGTTATAACTTCATTAGTAATCATCGCCGAGGTAAAACAGGCGGTGGTGTAGGTCTTTTTCTAGGTGATTATTTTCAGTACAAATTAATTCAAGACTGTAATATTTCTAATCCTGAAGTAATTGAGTCTCTGTTTGTTGAAATTTCAAACCCTCTTGGGAAAAACATTATTGTAGGAACTGTTTACCGCCCACCCAACCAAAACCTTGTCTCATTTATCGAAAACTTTAATAAAATCCTTTCTATTATTTCCAAAGACAACAAACAATGCTACATAATGGGAGATTTTAATTTGGACTTACTTCATTGTGATCATCATGCGTATACACAAGAATTTATAGACTCGTTATTTTCACATATGTTTATTCCTCTTATTAATAAGCCAACGCGGCTAACTTCTCATTCAGCAACACTAATTGATAACATATTTACGAATTGTTTTACACAAAATATTGTAAATGGAATTATTCTGAACGACTTGTCGGACCACCTACCTGTGTTTGCATTATCTAGTACTAAATTTGAGAAACCAAATAATGAAACCACATATTATACTCGGGATTACAATGATTTAAATATTATCAAGTTTCAAACTAAATTATCACAGGTCGAATGGACTCGGGTCTTGATAGGGCAGGATCCAAATAGACTTTACGATGTTTTTGCCGAAGAATATTATGGGCATTTTGAGGATTGTTTTCCCTTAAAAATATCTAAGTTGAATTCTTGTAGGAAATCAAAATCACCATGGATTACTAAAGGTTTGCTGACTTCCGTTAAAAAAAAGAATAAATTATACAAAAAATATCTCGCAAACCCTACCCCTGTACGTGACTCTCAGTATAAGAGATACAAAAATAAATTGAATCACCTAATTAGAATATCAAAGAAAACTTACTATGATAAAAAATTTGAATTAGCTAAAAGTGATTTGAAAACAACATGGAAATTAATAAATGAAGTCACTAACCTAAAACGTAAAAAGCCCTCACTACCGTCATCTTTTCGATCAAATAACATGACTATCAATGAACCCTCTAAAATTGCCAATGATTTTTGTAAATATTTTTCTGAAATTGGCCCATCCCTTGCGCGTAAGATTCCCCCAACAAATCGTTCATTTCATGAGTTTTTAGGCCCTACTATTAGTGAAACCATATTCCTTAAACCTACAACTGTTAATGAACTGAGAGAGATATGTATGTCGTTTAAAAATGGAAAAGCACCTGGCTACGACAACCTACCTATACATATCATAAAAAAATCGTTTGAATTAATATCTGAACCATTAATGCTGGTAATTAATTCTTCACTTGAGGCAGGGTTATTCCCAGATAAGCTAAAAGTAGCTAAAATAATTCCTATTTATAAAGCTGGTGAGGTAGATACATTCACAAATTACAGACCAATTTCAATTTTGTCTAGTTTTTCAAAAATCTATGAAAGGGTCATGTATAATCGTTTGGTAGAATTTACTAATAAACTTGAAATTTATTACTGCCACCAGTGTGGTTTTCGAACTAACCACTCAACCAATCTTGCTCTTACTCACTTGATAAATAAAATTGCAACTGCTATTGATCAAAAAGAAATAACAGCAAGTGTTTTCTTAGATCTGTCTAAAGCATTTGATACCTTAAACCATGATATACTATTTTCTAAGCTTGATAGGTATGGGATTCGTGGAGTGGCATTAAATTGGGTAAAGAGCTATTTCAATAACCGAACACAATTTGTTCAATATAACAAATTTTCTTCTGCTCGAATAGCCATACAATGTGGTGTACCCCAAGGGCAATATTGGGCCCACTCTTTTTCATCCTTTATATTAATGATCTTCCAAACGCCTCACATTTAGTCAAACCACTATTATTTGCAGATGACACCAGCATTTGTTATGCTAGCTCCGATCCCATAGTATTAGCTACAGTATTAAATGAGGCATTACTAAATATTAGTACATGGATGAAAGCTAACAAACTCTCTGTCAATATTGATAAAACCAACTACATCATTTTCCAACCAACCCAAAAGAAATCCACGTATGAAATTCTCCTTCTTCTTGATGACAGATTAATCACACAAAAGAAACAGATCAAATTTCTTGGGGTCCTTTTAGATGAAAATCTTTCATGGAAACCTCATATAAATTACGTATGCAAAAAAGTTTCGAAGTCTATCGGTGTAATATACAGAGCTCGTTTCAACTTGTCGAAAAGTACTAAATTGTCGTTATATTATACCTTAATCTATCCATATCTTATCTACTGCAACACAATATGGTCATCTACATATGTTTCTAACTTAAAACGGTTACAAATTCTACAAAAGCGAATAGTTAGATTATTGACTAGTTCGAGCTTTTTGGCTCATACTGCTCCGCTTTTTAAAAAATTGAAAATACTTGATATCAATAGGATTAATTCCTTTTGTACAGGTATATTCATGTATTCCTACCATAACAAATTACTTCCACCCCCCTTTCTTAACTTACTTAGCACCAGCAACCAGTTTCATAATTATAATACTAGAAACGCTGACACATATCGTTCACATGCATGTAGAACTAATATAAAACAATTTACTATGCTTTCACGAGGTCCAAAACTGTGGAATTCGCTCCCTGACACCGTTAAGAATGCAGGGACGTTAAATTGCTTCAGGAATAGAATACGAAAATATTTACTTCAATGTTAAGCCATATAACTGCGTTCACTAGCTGTCGCAATTGTTTTAACAAAATACTTTTGATATATATACTTTGAAAAGCTTCAAGGAGATATCCAATTTATAAGCCTTATGGTTTCTGGATAACTCCTTGCCACTAATATAACCACTGTAAATATAATCAACATAAATTACCATTATATAAACAGTAACAGTATATTAGAAATCTGAAATATTGTAAATGGTATTGGTGGCTAATAAATCTTTATCTTATCTTATCTTATCTTAACACCGTTTGAAAAGTCAAGATAACCGTTTAAACGTCTTATATGTAGTTCTTTGCAAGCTTTCTAATGCTGCAAATTATTTTTTCTATAAATGAACCTGAAATTTCACGTTTTTAACAATATAGCCAGGAGTTTAATAGGAAAATCGAAGAAAAATCTGTTGGCAGCAGCCCGCAAGACATTTGAACGATACCAACATACAGAAAATGTCAGAAATGCACTTACTAGCCTTAAAGGCGCAAGATGAAAGCAAAATAGAATTGTCCCCTAATCGGATGAGTTTTCCCTCCTATCTAGCTGCCTTGGGCCGGTTGTTAACTTTAATCACGTAGTTAAGGTAATTCCGCAGTTTTGCATTGCGCACTTTTACTGCGCACATCTTATAACTTATAATTTCATCCATTATACATACCGTTTACAAAAAATATCATTTTATGACAATTTTATGTTACTTCAAAACATCTTTGGTTACATTCGTGCAAACAATTACATTAAAATCAATGTTTTCAAAAAAGGCATACAAAAGTGTAGCTAGGGTTTCTGTGTCTGTAGTATATTTATTTACTTGTATTTCACGTTTTAATGCCACAATTCCCTAAAACGATCGGTGACCCCCGTTTTTTAACTGATAATTTATTTCTTTGATGCATTTTACATTTCATATCCGAAATAAAAGAAAAATCATTTCTGGATCTTGAAAAAAATGCTTTATCAATGCATGTTCTTAAAGAAAGATATGTAAAGAAATGTGGAAAAGACATTTGTGGATCAGAATTGTACACGTTAGTAGTTTCATTTTGCTCAAAACACAATATTTTTCAAAAATAATAACAAGATAGGTTTACTAAAGCAAAATCCGCGCTAAAAACGTCAATAAGTATCGGGCTGTTGTGATTTTGCTGTTACTCGTAATGAGCGTCAAGATGGCGCCATATTGGGGTAAAGGTGGTATATTGTGATTGTCATATCTTCTTAACGAGTTCGGTGACCCCGACTTTTTTGTGTGATTTTGCTTTAAGTATGTCATAAACTCCATGCCTGGGAAGTTTCAGCACATTCTCATTTCGGGAACAATTACTGCAGAATTACCTTAATCCGGTTGTATAAAAGTGTAGTTAGCCTTAACTGCAGTTAAAAAGCAGTTAAAGTCAACTATGCTTTACGGTATAGTTAACCATCCAAAACGTAGTTAAAAATGGCGCTTGTATTGGAGTGAACAACATTTTTCAGTAAAACAATAATGAAAAGCAACGCTTACCTTGGATTTTCAAACGCTATCTTCCCTGTGAATGTTTTCTGACAATATAAACACTTCAAATAACGCTAACGCTTTCGTGCATGGGAAGATTTCTCGAAGACAAAGTGGGGCCCATTATAAACGAAGAAACATGATATATAATTGCCAAACAGTTACGCTTTGGTTTAACGCAGACATCTCACGGAAAACTGCCTGATCATGTGACTTTTGCGGCCGTTTTGCTTTGTTTTCTTGTTTATTTTTCACCATTTTGAATCAAATTCCCGCCTATTTGCAAAATACCAGTCCAGAATCATGTTAAAAATGCTTGTCAGCGGTCGTTAATCGCTGCTTACTTTGTGTAATTTTGTTTTTAAACGCCCAACACAAGCCCCACCGTGGGCACAGTTAACTACGTGATTAGTCCCATTGCACATGATTGCATCTGTAGGTCAAATTAGCAATCTATGCATAATATAACGTTTGTAAACAAAGCAAATTTTGTAAAACTTTATAATAATTTTGTGTTAAAATGGTTAATTTTTGCGCTGTATGTGGTTGTTGTACCCGAACAGATATTGTTAGGGAGCATCTGGATTCGAAAAACTAAATTCCTTCGCTCAAAACGTTAAACCTTGTTCTTATTTTTCAAGTAGTTGCATCATACATCCAAACCCGAAACTTGCATTCTTCGCTACCGACATGCACTGGCACCCAACATTATATCCAGTACATTCTATACTGTATGTACCTCATGCACATCTTTCATAAGCTAGAGTTCGAGAAGCTATAAGTATTCTGGGGTTTTTTCCAATTGAATGACTATACAGGGTGTATCAAAATAAACGCAATTCATCTTTTGTGCTTAATAACTTTCGAAATACTATTTCTAGTTAAACGCATTTAGGCTTACTTCAAAGCCTGTTCTTTTCTCTTTCAAACAAACTATTATCCTTGTCTCCAATGCTAGTAATGATTGCACAGGAAAAGATTTAGTAAAACCTATCATTTTTAGTTGCTGTTTAATTATGCAAGTCTACTATATGTTATTGTTTAGTCGGTTTAAATGTTAGAATTTTCTTCTTTAAACTTTAATGTTGTCGTCACTACATCTGGAAAACCACGTAAGAACAAATTAAAAGTATTTTAAAAGAGACCAGGTTGTTTGAAAATCCCAAACGAACGCTAAAAATCATAGAATCAAAACATTCTGGTGTCTGGGCCAGAGTGTCATCGAATTGCGATGTAATGTAAACAGAAATTATAGCAAGCTGATGTCAGTCAGCTTAGATGGTCCAAGCCAAAATTATATCGCATTTGAAGTTTCAAACTGTGTTAAAAATAGTGGAAGAAAAGCCGTAATTATACTTATTGTTACAATCCATTTAATAAAATGCAACATTTGTTTGTTTTAATGAAAAAATCAGTTATTTTCATGAGAACGATTTGTTATTCCATCTCAATTTTTTTAATCTCCAATCGCAATAACGTAAAGTATTATTACCCGCGAACCAATGAGTCAAATTTAAGAAACAACCCACTGTTAGAAAGCTGAATGGCTACGCTTTAAAATGAATGTAAACTTTAACGTTTTCGTCTATTATTTGTTTAGCAATTTACATTTCAGTCGAGGATTGCGTTTTTTTTTATACACCCTGTAGACCTTACCGTTTATTCACTTTTGACGCAATGGCCTCGTTTTCGTGTTTGCCAGTTTTGGCATAACAGGCGCACATGAAGGTTATATTCCCATGTTTCCTTCACGATTTGGTTCCTGGTTGATCTTGATCGTACATCATGTAACAGTTGATCTATTTTCTAGTTACTTGGCATGTGGCTTGCATGATGACGCCATCCGTGTTCTCACTCGACGTGGTGATGAAATTGCCTTACATAGTGCTGCACAGGTACTTTGTTCATGTCATTATGATCTCAAACGGTATGTGATCAGTATTTGGGCCCTTTTAAGGGATGGGGGCATATGCGTATTGCTCCTCAGATTTAAAACTAAAAAACTATAGTAATACCGCTGTTTCGAACGGCTGCCATGCCGCTTTAATTCGGAGTTACGTTTGTTCGTGTGGTTGTCGCAATTTGGACAGAAGTCATGTCGTATGTCGTCTTATTCTCTCGGAATTTATCCTAACAGGACCTCAATATTAGGCGTCAAACTATATGAACGTTTAATTGATAGCGTGAAACGATCTTGCATTCATGTTTATTATATGCATGTGCAAATGCAACTTCCGACAATTATGGGTATAAAATACGAACACTTCGATCACTTTTCCAGCAATAGTGACGCCATCTTGGATGGTGAGGCATCGGGGTCTAACCCATAGAGATTATAAATAACACTAGAGGGGGCATTGAACGCGGCTAAGGGGGGGGGGGCAAAAAATTAAAATGCTAACATCAGAGCGAGTTTGAGCCAAAATCTCTAAATTCTTGTTTATGGCAGTTAAGTAGTCCCGTTTTGATTTTTACCAAGCATTTTTACCTCAATATTGTCTATAACACATTTTTGAGAGCGCTCCAAATTAATGCTGATGTCATCAATTTTGATCTTTTCAAGAGGAATTAATCGTTTGAATTCAAAATTTGGGGAGAATGTTTAGTTTAGTTTAGTTTAGTTTAGTTTAGTTTAGTTTAGTTTAGTTTAGTTTAGTTTAGTTTAGTTTAGTTTAGTTTAATGAATTTGTCACATTTACATAGAAAAATTTTACAATTACAACTGACACTAGAACAATAAAAACTAACAAAATAATTAGTACTTGTGATAGGAGTCTGAAACAGAACTTGCGTCCCAATTGATATCAAACCCCTTTATGATTAGTATCTTCAAGTAAACACACACACACACTTAACCGGAAACTATTCCGGCGGGCAATAAGTTGGTAAAATTGTCTTGAAAAAAGTAAACAGTTCCGACTTAAAGTTGGATAATGTTTCACACGACTTTATCTTGGGAGGGAGATTGTTCCATGATCTGCAGGATCTTGGGAAATACTGAAATAGGAATTACGAAAATAGTCCTGCTTATACTTGTCTGTTGGGAATAAATTGTTTGTATCGGAATTTCGAGTATTGTAACGAGGAATACGAGTATTGTAATACTGGGAAGCATCTATAAGAAGAAGACCATTTATACATTTAAATAAGAATGTTAGATCACTTATTTCGCGCCGAAATTCAAGTGGGAGAATGTCTAATTGGCATAACCGATCTGTGTAGGACATGTGATTAGGATAATTTAAAATGAACTTAGTGGCTCGACGTTGCACGTTCTCAATCAATTTTCGATCGTTCTTCGTGTGAGGAGACCACAAATTTGAACCATACTCCAGCTTGGATCTAACAAGCGAACAGTAAAGAACTTTTCTAGTGGAAGGATCAGTAAGGTCTTTACAAGTCCGTTTAATTAAGCCTATGGTCGTTTAATTAAGCCTGGGGTCATGTTTGTAGTAATGACATGCAAAACATATAAAATACCCAGTTTTGTGACTCTTGTTTCAAATTTTTCTGGTTTCAAGTGTAACCCAAGAATTGTGTGGCGCATGGCCAGAAATGACGGACATTGTGCAAGCGTACCAGTAGGTTAGCAGCCTTTCCGTTTATCCACAAGAATTCCTAATTATCCTTTCACGCCCTATCAAGGCATCCGGAATTTCAAATATTCGCATGGGTGTTGTTTATAAAGCAAAACATAAAGTGCACACTCCGGTTGTGGCCTTTAGTGTAGCATGCGCAGGCTCATGCAGGGTGTAGCTAAGCAACGACTACGGAAATGAAATGAAAAGAGAAGCTTTAGACGCGGAGTATTCTGGTTCCAAACATGTAGCAAGGCAATCAATATTTCGAGTTTTATATAGTTCTTGAAATATCTTGACTGAAAATAATAACCTGTCCGCCATCTTGTAATAATTCGATCTCACTAACGGTAGGCTTGGTGACATCGAAGACAGGGTTAGCACGTATAAAACCACTGCCAGGTAACCATGCAAATAACAATCAGTAGACGCTTGCAATGTTCTCAGTCAATTTAGTCTTTGAAACTGTGCATGACCGAAGTATAGTTTTGGGCGTAATGACCTCAGGATATCTGATTAAAAAATTTCTGTGACTCTGCTTGTGACATAACATACATTTCCACATGCACTAATCCAAGATGGCGGACAACCACTGATTACTGATGATTCAGTCAAAATATCTCGAGAACTTAACAACATTTGGAGAAGCTGAAAGAACGTTTTCGCCCTAATTTTGAAAGTTCCAGATGAAACAAAGCATTTTTTATCATATTCCTTTAAATCTGTTCACATATTATTGTTAATTCGCTTGTCGTGCACTTGTTTTGCGCATGCTTCAGGGCTTCGCACTGTAGTAGCTACTAGTCTGGTTTAGTAAAAATTTCTTACATGGTAGAAGGATGTAACTTACAACATAGATCCTGATCACTAAGTTATCAATGTTTAATATAGTCTGGATTAGCTCAATGATCAATATTGGATAAAATGTTAAACACACGAGAAGATCTGCCAATGCCAAGTTTCCTATCAAGTAAGATGTCGCAGTATTTTTTTTTGCCCAAGAGAATTGTGTAAATTATGACTGTAATATTTCCCAAAACTCCAATAATTATCGAAATTAATTTAAACACAACTGAAAAGAGAAGAACATTGTTTGAAACCATGGTTGCCATTTTCGGTAACATAAAGGTAAAAATGCTTCGGAGATGCAATTGGATGTTTGCTGAAGACGACAGAAAATAGTGAAAAATATACTTAAGAGACAACTAATTTGTATGCAGAGTTTGCATGACGATCATTAACTACTTGTCAATGAACTCTGTTTAAAGTTATAAGAGTATACATTTTCGAGTCAGCTATAGTCATTGCTTATTAAACTTACAGCGAAAAATTAGATAGAGTTAATATTGTTATATATATACTACTGTAAGTAATGAATTAAAATCATACAAATGCTTTTAGTCAAGGACCTGCTCCAATGACTCGCGATCACTGTATCGTGACATTTTTAATTTATAGCCAATGACAAAATGTTAATTTAATTTATTGTGAAAGAAGAATATTATGCAGGTTTTGCCAAGATAATTGGAAATTTCAAGAGTTTTAATAGTAGGTATTGAGCTTTAAATTTTGTTAAATAACATTTTTATTCTTGGCGCTGGCATTCATGCTCAGCTGAATTTAGTATTGGAATATTGATCTGCGTCCTATAAACCATGCAAGCTTTTCAACACCTGTTCAACAGTTTGGCTCTTGTAGGGGTACTGAGCACGACTCACCCGAATTTTAGGGTGGCCGGGGGGGGGGCTTTACCGCTTGCTTCTCAACTGGAACTGAACAAGAACTGAGCGCCTGGTCGCTGTCTTGAAGTTCCATATCTCTATTAACGAGCCACTTGTATAATATATGCATGCCGGTCATCTCGTATTCCTGTTACGTACGAGCTTCTGTAATTTTCGAATTCGAATACGAGCGCTAATAATAGTGTTATATTTGGCAGGAGTTTCCCACAAATTTTTCTCCCGTAACACACATTTGTGGCGGCAGGCAGATGCACGGAAGCGTAGCTAGAGAAAACGGAGCGCCGAGCGAAGGCTGGTTTCCACCTGCATTGAACCACAGTTTTTGTTAGTGCCCGTTGCAGCATTTGTCTTTCTATTAGCAAATTTCTAGTCATTTACAGTAATTCAGCGTTGTACAATGTTATACTAAATGGTTATCATATCAGGATCTGATATCGGATATGGAAAATTTGTCTATAGCATATTGATATAAGCAAATTGAAACATTGCTGGTACTAATTAAATAATTCTAGCCTGGATCAGAAAAAGGAAAAAAAAACAATTCGCACTCCCGCAACCGTTCGAATTTCCTTGCACATGAGATTGGAAAATGGGACGAGCCAGCATGCCCTTGTAAATCCGTCATATTTTTACATTATTATGTTGCATTGGATCGAACGATATTGTAATTATATTTGTTTATCTTGGGGCGAACAATAATTCATTAATAAGTGCCACTAAAGTCTAAATTCCTAGATCGATGTAATAAACATAAAAAACATCTGGGGACCATAACCCCACCAACTGTAGAGTTAGTTGCCCAGACGATAAACACAATCTAACAAATATTTAAAAACTTATTTTGCATTCGAATTTCGAAACATCCGAATGTTAACCGCACTCAAGAAGTGCTTTTGTGAAAGAACCCCCACAAAAAAGGTCGGCTGGGATATGATGGACTTGATCCAGTGAACGGAAATTGGCGGCGCTGTAATACAATGTAGTACAGACTCACATAAGAATGTCGATTTCATAATACAATGCCCACTTATGTCGGCTCTCCTCACGAACTGCTTTGCTAAATAATCAAGGCAGAAAATGGGGAATGCATCACCAAACCAAACCCTCAAAAATGCTGTTCACCGGAGAAACACAGTGAAAACCTGGCACTAGTTTTTGAGAGCGAGGACGGAAAATCCGCAGTTTGTGAGTTTATAATACACCTAACTATTTTCACAAGAATAGCCGAATTCATATTAAAGATGAGAAACTCATCTCAGACGGGAACCAAATCAAAGACTGGAACTAGAGTACGGGAGAAAAACAAAATGGCGCCCTAAAACAAAAGCAAATAAGCAAAGTAAGTCAACTGAAATACTACTTCTATAAAAAATAAAAAAACAAGGTTTGGACTGAAGACGAAGTTACTACATAATTACGCAGTTACTTTTGTGCAACGACAAATAAATGCACCTAGTATATTACCAAATCCATTTTGATCTTCCATCGTTAGTAGTCTTCGGGCTAACTGACTGTCGTCTGATACATTGCATGTAAGTCGTTTTCGCCCTTTCGTTTTAAATAACAAAAAGGTCGTCAGATTTAGATTAGGACTAGTTTAGGGTCAGATTAAGATTAAATTATAGGGTTAGAGGTTAGAGTGGGGGTTGGGTGGGGATTAGGGTTAGAGGTTAGAGTGCACGGGGTTGGGTGGGGGTTAGGGTTTAAATTAATATAAGGCATATCCTTATAAATCTTAGCAAATTTGACATGTAAGGATAATCCCTAATACTACGTGAGAGGATTAACTGTAATCGCTTAACGATAACAGTTGTTTCAGCCAAGATTTGTTTTCGTTGTTTCCGTTAAAATTCGCAAATTGAGAACAAGAAGTAAAGTAAGTGGAACATAGTTAACAAAGATACTCAATAACAAAAAATAATATCATTGTTACCTGCGTAGCAAATAGTCTCCTTCTTATCCAAGTTAAAAGAGGGGACAATTTTCAGCTTAGAGGAACACTTCCTGCAACTGTACCTGTATTTGATTTTCTCCACTAGATTTTAGACTTGACTTTATAGGTCAAGGTTTATAGGTTATATTACATTCGCGGCGCTCATGTCAAAACTACAAAGAACGCATTTTGCCGGAAATACGTAAGACTAATTATAAATTGCCACAAAGAACACACATGACTCTAATTATAAATCTCAAAGGTAATTGGATAACGTGTAAAGGTGATAATCGCAAATATCAATCACTGTAAAAGGAGCAAAAACACAATTGACAATTG